CGCTTTTTGTAGAAATCTTGGTAAGTAGTCGACCAACGTGGTCGCTATTCTCCAGAAACTTATTTTTTTTTTAACGTGAAAAGCGACCAATAGAGACCAAGTGGTCGCTTTTCTGTGTATTATTTTGGCAGAAACTGCCTGTTTTGGCACTAAACCACCCTGCCACGTCAATACCAAAACCCTAACCAAGGCAACAACAACAACAATTCAAACAACAATCCAATAAAATACCAAACAACAAACCCAACAACAACAACAACAACACAAAAACAACACTAAAAGTACATTAAAACCAAGAAAGTTAAATTTCAAATAGAACTAACAAACTAAGTTAACTCTTATTACAACCCAATGGAAAACAAATTGTATTTGTCTAGTTCAAATTGTCTAAAATTCATTGATCGTTTGGTACATCATTATCATCACCCTCTGATGAAGTTTCATCATCATCACGGTATTGAGAAGGGTCTATTTGGTCGATGATGGGAAGAATGATCACGGGGAGGACGGGAGGAACGCCACTTGGAGGACGGGAGCGACGAACGAGCAGAGGGCCCGGGCAGCCTTCTGGCGATGATGGCCGAGACCGGGGAATGAAAAAGATCCAGCCTAGGAGATTTTGGATCTGCTCTTGCATGCCTGGCACTAAGCTACCAGCCAATGTACTGAGCATCTTCTAAGCTTTTCTCTTTCCTTGGACCTTCTAGCTCGGATGTAAGCTTTGCCACAGTCTCCCGCATAGCGGAGAGGCTCTCCCCATCAAGTTGCTCGGCTTGCGAGGAAGTCCCTATTCCTTGCATTCCACCACTATAGCGATGGAATGTTCTTAGAAGGAAGGCCGCATACCTTCCCCATTTTGACCGCCTGCAGCCCGCATCCATAGTCTTTCAACAATCCTCGCCGAAAGTTTGAATGGCGCGCCCGACTCATTAGGGTGCTGTGCGTATAGTTCCTCAGCTTCAACTCTGAAGCGATCCTAATAAGAAAAAGTAAATTGAATTAGTTTATTTCAAAATTTATATAAAAGTAAATGAAAATACTTAATGAAAACGTGAAAACTACATGTACAGTCGAGGCTCGTCGAACCACACTTTCTTCATCCGTCTCTTTCTTCTTCTACACAATATGAGTCTCCTTGAATAGTCATCTTGGTTCATCTGACGCCCAACTTCTTTTCCTGAAAACTCATAAATTTTAATTAATAAATAGAATAGATATACTTTGAAAATTAAAATAAATTAAGCAATTACGTACCATTATTCTTTTTATGTCCCAGGCTTGATCGCACCTCCAGTGTGGCAAGGATCCTCCCTTCTCAGATGCGCGAGCTTTCTTTCCTTTTCGCTCTTCTGTAAGAACTCTGCAGATAAGCCATTGCCTTTGCAAATCATCCCAAAACTCTTAGAAGCAACCAGCACAGGCTTCTGGTTCAGCTGTCTAGCTATGGAGAAAGAATGCGACAACCGCTTGCGACGCTTTGAGATTAAAATTTCAGCCACAGTCCGCGCTATACTGGTGTTCCCATACACACTTGCTCTGTATTTCAAAAGTTAAATATTAATATAAATATCATAAAATATAAATAATTATACTGCTTAAAAGAAACATTTATACCTTAAATTCATATGAAATTGCCTCCTTCAGTGAAAAGAGAATTCACGCCAAGACGCATAAAGGGGCATCAATAAAGCTTTTGGTTGCTTTGGTGATTATCCTCGTAAGTAATATTACTCGGGAGGAACCTCACATATAATAAGTAAAATAAATTAATATCTTAGTAAAAACTGTACAAAAAAAATAACATAAAAATAACAAATAACTCTTACCCATCACCCTTAGGGACATGATGAATCCTGCCATACTGATCATAATGCACACCTCCTCGTCAGCAGCGTAAGCAGCATCAGTACCAAACTTGGTACGACTAATTTCGTTAAAAAAATAAAATTTCTGGTGATATAGCGACCAACGTTGGTCGCTAAAGTACAAAAAATAAATTAAATTCATGTATTTAGGGACCAAAGTTGGTCGCTAGTTTAATAAAATATATAAATTATTGAATAAAAAAGCGACCAACCTTGGTCTCTAGTTTCCAGATTTTAAAATATAATATTTGGGTTAGAGACCAAAGTTGGTCGCTTCTTAATGATTAATAATAAATAAATAAATAAAGTATTTTATATTTAGAGACCAACTTTGGTTGCCAAATTTATATTATTAAATTAATAAAGCGACCAAAGTTGGTCTCTATAGTCAATATCCGGAATATTTGGTCCATTTAGCTTAGAGACCAATGTTGGTCGCTAATTAGCGACCAAGTTTGGTCCCTAAATAAAAGAGACCATCAATATAGCGACCAGGCATGTTTGGTCGCTTTTTGGTCGCTTTTGGGCCTATAAGCGACCAACTTTGGTCGCTTTTTGTGGTCGCTTTTTACCGGATTTCTAGTAATGAATCTCTACGGTTTTCGGGCAAAGATGAGTATCCATCCCTTCACACCCTATGATTGCCTTTTTCATACGTGGATCAGCTCGTTAAACAAGAACATATCCTTGTTTCTTGGCCTACAAAAAAAAAAAAAAGAGAAAGAAAGAAAGGAAAAAGAAGACAAAAATGTAGAAGAAAAAAATTCACATGTAAATGATGGAGTGGCTTGAGCGCGATGCGAATTGATACCACAATTGAAGAGCATGTTGCTTTATATAGATAGGAAAGGTCTACACGGACCAAGGATTTTTTTGATGTGGGATGAATTATTATAGGCAATCTCCTAGTAGGAATGGTTAGTGAATGACGTCTGTGCATATGTACGTCCATATTCATTCTAAGATCGGATTAGGGAGTCCACTTTGAATAGAATAAGAACTCTAGCTTATTATGTCCGGCAGCAACAAATAGTAAAAGGAGATTATATGGCCCGTAGCAAACCCACTAAATTAATCAACCAAAGAATTTAAATGATGCAAGAAGGGGAACGTGGTATCTCAACAAGAGCTGGTAGTTAAAATGATATCATGCTAAATGAAAGCAAAGATTCTAGTTACTAGAATAATTATTGTAGCATGTAATTCCTTGAAGTGTATGACATGGAAAAGCTAATCAATTTTAAAGTCGCCTAAAATGAAAAATGATGGCTTTTGAATTGAAAATTCAATAGCTTTTATATCTCACGTGATCAAGTTACATAACAATAATTTTGGGATTTAGTTTGGCCCTATTGGATTGGCCAAACCTATGTCCAATATATGTTCAAGACTGTTCCAAAGTTGTGTAATCTTTGTGTAAATCACACTACCTCGTATCTCCTTATACAGTAAGTTTAGCAACCAAGAAGTGACCATATTATTGGTTTTACTCCACCGTAGATGGTACTTAGAGTCCAAAGTTAGTTCAACACAACTCCCATTGATAAAACTAATCTTATTTTTAGATGACAAAACAATCAAGACAGACCTCCTCCAATCTGGATATCCTCTCCCATCAAATGGTGTCTTTACCAGTGTCATTCCTCGTGCATCATAAGAGTGCAAAAATAAAAGGTGATTGGAATTAAGTGTGAATCTATAGTTGGTTGAACCAGTGAGAGAAAGAGTAGTTGTTGCTTCAGTTCCTGGCATGGCTGAAGATCAGAGAAGAACTTGAGAAGATATTTTAGAAAAAAAAATACTAAATGGATCGAGCTACTCCGATACCATAAAAGAAAAGGACTGAAAAATATTGAAAGTTTTCCCTGATTGTATTCACTGTTCATCCATGTCTTTATACAAGTACTTGCTGTAAAAGAAACATATAAACGAAATATCTACATACACTTGTACTATTCTTATTGCCTATTCTAGAACTGTATAGCAAAATTTTATTCTCCTACTATGTGCATACATGTGCTCTACACGTGGAGAAACTTCTAGGTTGATGCCTTTTTACAACTGCCTTCTTTATCTCTACGGTTTATATTCACTCAGAGTTGTTATCTTTTAGGGCTGAGATGCTTCCACGTGTTGAGACCAAAGAGTCAAAATCTTCAGACACATATAATGCTAATAAACATTGCAAACTCCGAAACCCCTCATTTTTGTCTTATAGCTTGTTTGGCCAAGCTTCTTTTTGGCCAAAAGTATTTTTTTTTTTTGCCAAAAGTACTTTTGGCCAAAAATTAAGTTGTTTGACCAAGCTTTTGGAAGGAAAAAAAATGTTTTTTAGGAGAAGCAGAAGCAGTTTTGGAGAAGCAGAAAAAAGTAGCTTCTCTCCAAAATCACTTTTTTGAGAAGCACTTTTGAGAAAAATACACTTAGAAGCAGTTTTTTAAAGTTTGGCCAAACACTAATTGCTGCTCAGAAGTGCTTTTCAAACTAATTAGCCAAACACAAGCAGCTTCTCACCAAAAGTACTTTTGAGAAAAACACTTCTGAAAAAAAGCACTTTCCAAAATAAATTGATTTTTACAGCTCGGCTAAACGAGCTATTAAATTTTTTCCTTTTGTCCTTTCTTCTTCAATAGAGATTCTTCTTCCTTCTCTACTATAAATTTTCGATTTAAATTAATATGGGGCTTCTTTTCTTCAACTCGAAACAAAGACACTAATATAATTGAGCGTAAAAATGGTCTTCAACGAGTGATACAAGGATTGAGCAGTAAGAAGACCTGCTCAATTCGAGCAAAAGGAAACCAGCCGCAGTTCCAAAAATAATTTACATATTTGAAGGGTATGCCAAGAGTAACTTACAGTTTAAAAGTAAGTTTCAATGAGATCTAAAATTTAGAATCTAAGGATATTTTTGGTATGAAGGAAAGTATATTTTGAAAAATATTTTGATTTTTTTTTTTTTGTTGCAATAATCTTTTTCAATCTTTCCCATCCTGTTCTCCACCCCCATTCTCTACCCTCCATCTCCATCACCCACTTCCAACCCCTAACCTCACCCTTCCCACCCCCACCCCACCACCCCTACTCCCAACCTCCTCCCCCGACCACCCCTCCTAACCTCGCCCCTAGACCCCGACCAACCATGTTTCCCTACCTTTATTCCACGATAAGAAAGTGTGGAATTTGTAACAACGTTTTAGCAACAACTGGAATATTGTTGGCTAAAAATGGATAAATGGCAACAACACGATAAAATTGTTGCTACAGCATAGACTTTTTAGCAACAAATTTTTCTTGTTGGAAAATATGTTAATTTTGTTGCCATATTCTATGGTTTAGATAATAAATTTTAAATTTTAACAAATGGCAACAACGTCCTAGCAACAACTACAGTATTGTTGCCGAATTTTAATAAATGGCAACAACTAAATTTAATTATTGCAAAGAATAAAACTTTTAACAATACAGTTAATTATAAACAGAATTGGCAACAATAAAGGTTTTTTGTTGGCAATAAATATTATTTTGCCAATGACATACGTGGTTTGTGGCCTAAAAAATTTCATTTTCCGCCAAAATCAAACGCGGCAAATATTTCCCTTTTTAATTACTTTTCCCGGTGTTTTAGCCCACTCTCTAATAACCCTTTTGTCTAGGATTTTTCTTATCAGTTTTACTTGAATGGGCTCCTCCTCTGCTGCGTCCTCTTTGTTGCGGCGTGTTGCGGCTGATCGGAGAAGAACCGGTAAGAATTCAATCTTTAATTGCTTTACCCAATTGTTGCTTCACTAAATTATGAAAATACCAATTTCTGTGATTGTCTTTTATCAGTGAAGTACTTAATGGGTATGGGTACGTTAAAATTTTCTATGCCACAGTAGAATTTGCAATTTTTCTCCTCTAATTCTTTATACTTCAGAAAGAAACTTTGCATAAGTTTTTCTTTTATTGTTGTCCAGTTTGTTGTTCCTTTTTTTTTTCGATTCATCTTCTGCTAATGTCTTTATACATGTTACTCTGCATAACAATTGAATGAAACTACCGAACACGAATGTTTTTCTCTGTTATTCGTGAAAACTTGATAGGTATAACTATAAGTTACAAAGAGATTTTTCAGATATGTAATTTGATCAATTTTCAAAGGCTATCATTTCGAGGTTATCAAGTTTATGCTTAGTATAGATACTTATCCTATTTAATTTAATAAATAATTTAATTGTATAAATATATCTCATTAGATAAAAAAGCAAATGAAAGATATGTTGAATAACTTATCCTTTGATGTAATCAGTTCAATGTTTCTTACCATTCAATTCTACGACCTTGTGAGATGAAACTGGAAATAGAAATAAACCATGGTGTCAGTCAAAAATTTATGTGAAATATTCTTTTAATATGTGTTGCAGCCTATCATGATGACAGATGCGCATGTTTCTTAATATTGGAACTGTTGATGTAATCTCAAACCCACCGCTAGGTTAGTTAATTAATTTTTTAAAATCCAGCCCTATAAAATCTCTAGATTGTATATGTTATGTTTACTATACACCTACATATTTTCATATATAGCTGAAGGTAAAAAGAGAAAGGGAAGGGGGAAGACAACAGAGCTTTCAATCCAAAAGAAACGTAAAGATAGTGACAATGGAAAGTTGAAGGTAATTATTCCGCCAGATCGAACTATAGCAGTAGGTCCTGGAGCTAATGATTCTTTTACCAAACTCTCTGTCAAAGTTGTGCATAATGCTCGGCATGATGTCAAGAATTGGATTTAGCAAAAGATAGGACTGTTGCTCATATGCTGGTAATTCACTCTGTTCCCTTACAATTTTCTTATTGGTCTAGTACACATAAGCAAACTCTTAATTCCAGATTACTTCTAATTTTCTTATTGGTCTGGGAGTGTTTTGCTCTCCTGACAAAAAGTGGCAGCATTTTCTGTCTTTCTTGTGATAATAATTGATAAATTTGTCGCCAAGACTTTAAAGATGCTAGAACCTTAAGGTTTGGGTAAAAGAGAAGTTTACCTACTAAATTATTCTAGCTAGCATTTGTACACATGTTATGTTAACATGTCCATATGACCACTGGACTTCATTCTGAATTAAACTTAGCAAGAGATAAGTTTTTCTGTTGCATTTCAGAATAAGAAATGAAACTATTATGTCCAGTTGAGGTGATGTTTTAGCTTAAGTCAACTAATCTTCCCACTCCTTAATTGTACAACCAATTCATATTTACTACTACTATTAGATATAAAGGTGAAAGCATCAGAAGAATATATGCAATCACTGTTCCCAACCTGTTTGAACAGCAACTGTGCAACTCCAATTCATTAACTTCTTTCACAAAATGCTGCAGCACACATACAGCAACAGCAAAAAATTCAGTGTGATTCCACAAGTGGGATCTGGAGAAAGTGGGATATATTATTTTCGATTGTTTTCCTATAGTACACTTGCCAAGACTTCTGAAGAGTTGGTCTATGAAGCTTCTGGAAGAAAACAAAAAGTTATTGTAGTTATGTTAAAACCAAGAGAGGACTTACTCTGATCTTTAACGAGGATAAACCACATACTTACCATATGATCCACCTAATAACACAGCAGGCATGCCTGAGTTGATAAATTACTTTTGTCGCTCCCACTATCTCTGTTTCTGACTCGTTCCCATATCATTCCTTTCCACTTATTTGTATGACAAATTAAGTTATGTAATTTTGCTATGTTTAACCGCATGGAGTTTCTGCTGGAATTCTCAACATTATTTCTAATTTAAGTGGTTCAAATGAGGCAAGTCGGTCAAGACTTATGGATGACATCACGGTAAGAAAACTTTGTCTAACTCTTGTAAAAGTAAATTCCTTGGTTGTTATTGTTCAATATCATGTTTGCGTTATAGTTTTTAGTTGCCATTTATTTAGTTCTCTGTCATCTAAGTTCAAAAAGAAAAATTACTTGATCTTGGGCCTTTAAAAAGATTGTAGCTAAAGTCATATACAGAGAGTATCTTTTACTTTGGAGAGTAAAAAGTAAAAGAAAATAAAGAAGGCCTTTTTAAAATATTTGTATAACACTAAAACATTTATTTGAATAATATTTCAAGTGAAAGAATAATAAAAGTCCAACCTTTTCTAAGTGACTCTTAGATCCAACGCAACTTTAACTCGTAAAGGTTCAACCTTTACTAGGGATCTGTATATGTTCTTCTTCTCCCCTGTTAGTTTGTCAAAATTTTCCAATAAGAGATTGCCAATTAATTTAAGCTTTTGTACATTAAACTGAATCCCTCCACAATTGACGTAGTGGATTATTCCCATTTCAACTTTTCAGCTTATTCACGTTTTAGTTGGCTGCTGCTTACCAACAGACATCGGACTGACTAATCCTATTCCTTGAGGTTGAAATATTATCCTTTGGTACGTAAATGCTGGTGTTTTCTATGAGAAAATAGAGGAGTATCTTATACTTTGGAGAGAAAAATTAAAAGATAATAAAGAATGCAGATATAATGCGATTTTGTAGCGCTATGTAAAATCTACAGTAGGTTGTAGCTCTCTTCTTTTATGTTACATGGTGTAGGTTCTTATTTGTGATTTCTTAACTTTAGCTTGGTTATAAGTATCTTTTTATATTATTCATTGGTGCCCAAAATATTCTCTTTTGATATGTACTTGTGTACTTAATAGTTTTTTTTTTATAAAAAATATAATTGTAATTTATCTTCTTCTTTTTTTGTAGGATGAGCATGAGTAAACCAAAATAGCTGACAATATGGATCACCTAATGCTCAAGCTACTGGAAGAAGATTTGCTGTATGGGTTGTTATTAGATTAGAAATTATGACCTTGTAGATGCTCTTTTTTTTTTTGTAAGTAAAAACATGTGTTTTGGTAGTATTTAGTTTTTGAAAGTACATAAATACTTAGTTCATCAGTTGTATTGACATTTGCAAATGTATATCATATATTAATTTATATAAATATTTGTGATATTTTAAAAGAAGATATGAATTGTGTATGTAGCAACTACACATTTATTGTTGCTAGCTGTACAACAGAAAATATAATATTGTTAGCAAAAAGTGGCTTGTGCCCACAACAATACTTGTTGCTAAAAGTCTTTATAACAGATTATTAACTACCCTTCCGCTAATTTTTTTGCCACAAGTAATATTGTTCCGAAATTAATAATAATTTATTGCAACAATAATTTTTGTTGCTAAATATTTTTATAAGCCACTATTGTGTAACCAAAAGATAATTTATGGCAACAACATTTCTTGTTGCGTTAAGTCAACTTCTGGCAATGACTAACTTTTGTTGTCGGCATGCAATAACATTGGAAAAATGAACAACTTGAATGATATATTTCAAATTTCATTGAAATATGCTCATAAATATTGTCCCATAAACATGATGAATAGAAATGAACTGAACATGGAATTCTTAGGAGAAAAATTGCAACGCCAAGTTGCTGGAACTGACTCAAAGTTAATTAATATAATGACCATGAATCCCAGGGAACGGGGTGCTCTGAGGTTCTCTGGTGGCTTCTTGCACATATCTGCTTCTGCCTTTTACTAATTTTCAGATTGCAATTTAGCAAATGGTTTATGATCGCACATTTAATGTCATCACCCAAAACTCACTATAGGCTGTGATGGTGCCAAATGACAAGCCAACGGTGAACTGCCAACTTAATTACGCATTTTATTATTTTTGAAATCGTGCATTTTATTAGATAAAGAAATCAACGCATTAAAATCATGGAAACTTACACTTTAAATAAGATAGATAATAAAAGTGTGTAACTGCTAAGTAAAATCAACACAACATCTACAACATCCCAAAATCCGGTGTCACAAGTGCATGAGCATCTACAGGAATACAATAATAATACAATATCCGTCTGAAATACAAGTTAGACAGAAGAAAATAAATAACTCTGATGGAGACAGTATATGCTGCGGATCATAACATGGAATGCAGCTCACCGAAAAGTCCCGGCAATAGCCGCGCCTCTGCGCCTAGAGGACCACCAGAAGCATAAATATACCTGCACAATAAGTGCAGCAAGTGTAGCATGAGTACGTAAATCAACGCGTACCCAGTAAGTATCTAGCCTAACCAAAGAGAAGTAGTGACGAGGGGTCGACATCGACACTTACTAGTGGTCCAATAAGACAGGTGCAGTAAGAAGTAAACAAATATGGGGCCGAGCAAATAAATGGTATGAACAAATATAAATACGAGGTACAATCATCCTCTGAATGGTAAACTCAAGCTCTCACTAAGCAGTTACCTCCTCAACCGGAGTATATCTAGAATGGACCTCACCAGATTGGTCATCACAACTCAAATCAGGAAAAAAAATACACGGATGTGCTGTTTTCTTGTCAGATATTACGTACGATGCTGCCGAGGCGAACGGCCCGATCCACAAGAGTGTTTTATAGAAATGCCGCGACGAACGGCTGGATCCGATCTTACTGTGTGCACTGCCAAAGATCGAACGACACGAACCATAGATGCTTCTATTATACTGCCGAGGCGAACGGCCCACTCCCATAAGAGTGATTGCATAATCATTCGAGGTGAACGGTCTGATCCCATTAGAATGAGAAGCTTTAACGGGTCATGGACCCCACTTACGAATAAATGTGTGAGTTATGAATTTTTAAGGAAAACCTTTCGATGAAAACGCATAGCGCGGGTAATCATTGAAGCTTGTCAAATCTCTACAAGAGCAAGTCTATCACTCAACGCAAGTCTAATCTCAAGTCGTTATGCGAAATAAAGGAAATAAACGAGCAAAGATAACTCCAATAGTACAATTACAGCATGGCGTGAACCTAAGCATACCCAGATATAACATGAATTTAGCTACGTACGGACTCTCGTCACCTCGTGCGTACGTAGCCCCCGCAACAAGTAGCACATAACAATTACATCAGCTAGAGGGTAGCTTCCCCCTCACAAGGTTAGACAGGAGACTTACCTCGCTCCGAAGTTCCATAACCGGCTCCAACGCCACTCTAACACCTCAAAACGATGCTCGTCGCTCCAAAACTAGTCAAACAATGTGAAAACCAATAAAATATACTCTAACACTCATAATAAATCAATTCATAACAATTCTCAACTCCGCTCGAAAAGTCAATAAAGTCAACCCTCAAGCCCACGTGTTGAGATTCTGAAAATGTTCGAAGATAAACTATACCCATAACACTACGAGCTCAAATATATAATTTATTCCCAATTCCATGTCCAATTTCGTGGTAACAATCCAAAAATACCAAATTCTAGATTTTTCTCTTAAAATCCCACAATTTTCATAAATATTCATGTTTTGATCCACATATCAATCATATATTTAACTAACAAGATGTAGAAATCACTTACCCTAAAGTTTGATGATGAAAATGGCACTCCAAAATCACCCTAAAGTCGGCTCCCATGGAAGGAATGAAGTAAAAATGAGCCAAACCCCCGAAATATAGCTTCTTCTCAGGTATTAACTCTTTGCGATCATGGAAAATGCTATGCGATCTCAAAGCACAACTTTTCTCAGCTCAAAATTGCCCTTCCCGATCGCGAAAAACCAATCGCGATCGCGAAGAGCAAGCTGCCCAACTCCTCTAGACAGCCTCTAGTATAATGATCATAACGTTTTGTACAAACCTCCAAATGACAAATGGTTTCACTTTTTGAAAACTAGACACCAAGGGCTATAATTTTTGTTTTTGGATTATCACCAAATTTCTTATAGATTACAAGATATAAGCTTCCAAAGTCAGCCCTGTGCAGTAGAAATTTGTTCTTCGCGAACTCGAATCTGCCTCCGCGAACGCGATTCACAAATCCCTTTCTCCTATTTTTCTCTTCGCGAATGCGACGCATTCCTTGCGAACGCAAAGAAAGGCACACCAAAACTCAGAAAACAGCAACTCAACATGGCAAAATGACCCGTAGACCCTCCGAAACACACCCGAGGCCCCCGGGACCCCGTCCAATCACACCAACAAGTCCTAATAAATGACAAACCTGCTCGAGGCCTCAAATAACACCAAACAACATCAAAACTACGGATCGACGATCGAAATCTTTCTTTAAACTTTCAAACTTTCAAACTTCGATGAAAGCGTCAGATTCATGCTTACACATTCCGGAATGACGCCAAACTTTACGCGTAAGTCATAAATCATGATACAAACGTATTCCAAGGCTCGTAACCCCAAACGGTCATCGATAAAATGAATGTCCACCTCAAGCCAAACTTAAGAAATTCTAAAACCTTCAAAATGCCAACTTTCCACAATAAGCGCCGAAATGCTCCCGGGCGACCGATACTCAACTCGAATATACGCCTAAGTACGAAATCATCATACGAACCTATTGGAACCTTCAAATCCCGATTCCGAGGTCATTTACGCAAAAGTCAAATCTTAGTCAACTCTTCCAACTTAAAGCTTCCGAATTTAGAATTTTCCATCCGAATCAACTTTGAACTTTCCGAAATTCAATTCCGACCACACGTACAAGTCATAATACCTGAAGTGAAGATACTCAAGGCCTCAAACCGCCGAACAACCCGCTAGAGCTCAAAACGACCGGTCGGGTCGTTACATTCTCCCCCACTTAAACATATGTCCGTCCTCGGACGTGCCAAGAACTGTTCCAAAGTTGTCTAAAATCACTGTTTAACACTTCGTTCACCTACCCGTGCCACCACAACCCATGTGAGGACATTAGCTCGAGCCAGAATGAAGATCCTCCCTATAACCTTGGCTAACAAGCTTAAGAACGAAATTCCAACATCCGGAATTCTCCACGAGACCCGATTCTAACATACGAAGACCGCATCAATCACTACACACTATACCAAAACATGATCGTGCACTTTTGCTGAAATCAGACCATGCACCACATAATTCGCATGCCCATAATAACATCCTCCGACCATAATAGCTGCAATTTAAAGAATTTGATCCCCTCAATACGCCTCCTAACACAAGTAAGCCCTGTTCCAACTCTCGCAATACTGTCATGACGAAAGAGATGTGTAGAAACTCATAACTACCCGCCAAAACAATAAATCATGGTGTCTCTCCTCCTAACAAGAACCATTACCTCATTCTGAACAGTATAGCGATATTTTCTCTTTAATATACCCTACATTACTCCGATCACACTGATCCCAGGTCCAATAATCTCGTCTCACCCAGTACAAGCTGCTCGGGCAATAAGCCACCTAAAACTCATATGACGCCACCAAAGAGCCAACAAGCTACAACTCGAATATGACCTATAAGAAAGAATGAACTCTGGCAAAGAACTATCAAGCCCACATAACGAATAAGACAACCAACAACTGCTATGAGCCTTCCTCAGAGATAAGAAACAAGATACACAAAAATAAGTATAGGGAACCGTACTTAACATCTCACTGTTGCGACGTGCAACCCTATCCAAATATGACCTATTGCAGCGTGCAACCCGATCGAATCATGACATCGTTGTGGCACGCAACCCGATCCATAAACCATACCCGTGGCGGCGTGCCACCCGATCTAAATAATATACCTGTGGCGGCGTGCTACCCAATCCACTCATAACAATGAATAAGGAAACACCCATCAAGCCGAAATGCTTATACTTGCAAAATGCCCGAATACCGATCACAAGCATGCCAGGTGCATAATACAACCCTGGGGAGACGGAAAGCGCCATACGCTACAAAAACCCAAGGATGACTAAGGTGCAATAATGGACCTGCATCTCGAGATCCATCTTGCTCATATAACACCACAAGCTACACAGGATCATAACACATGTGTGAATAATTAAGTCGTCTCACAACCCACCTGGAACAATAGAGTATTACATGTAATAGTTGACGACGGGAATAACATGCAATGCCCAAAGACTCCTCGGTAAGAAATGTT